CATCTGGGGCCGGGGACTTTCGGTGGGGCCCCTTATGGGGTCGGGAAACACTTGCACTGGGTGGGGGAGACGCATACGAACTGCGCCACTGGGACCTTCGGTGGAGCTCCCTATGGGAAACACGAAGCGTTGTACTGGGTGCGGAAGACACATGCGACCTGCGCCTCTGGGACCTTGGGTGGGGCTCCCTCTGGGGCCACGAAACGCCGCAATGGGTCGGGGAGACGCATGCGAACTGCGCCACTGGGACCGTAGGTGTAGCGTGTAGCTCCCGATTGGACCATGAAGCGCTATACTGGGCGGGGGGGACGCATGCGAATTACGCCACTGGAACCTTCGGTGGAGCTCCCTCTAGGGCCATGAAATGCTGTGTTGGGTGGGGGAGACGCATGCGAATTGCGCAACTGGGACCTTCGGTGGAACTCCTTATGGGGCCACGGAGCGCTGTACTGGGCCGGGGGGACGCATGCGAATTGCGCCACTGGAGCCTTCGGTGGAGCTCCCTCTGGGGCCATGAAATGCTGTATTGGGTGGGGGAGCCGCATGCGAATTGCGCCACTGGGACCTGAGGTGGAGCTCCCTGTGGGGCCACGGAACGCAGTGCTAGGTGACGAGGATGTCGACGACGACAAGGACATGCGGAGGGCAGAGGCAGGGACGGGAGGAGGCAGGAGGGATAGGAGGAGAGGAGACGAGACGAGAGGAGAGGAGCGGAGAGGAGAGGAGAGGAGAGGAGGAGGAGAGGAACGCGGGGACTGTCTCTTCAAAACGAGGACCCATCAACAGGTTGGGAACTAGAGGGAACTCAATGATTTTGGCATCTCGGGGCCCTCTTGGGAAGGCTCTTGGAGGCCTCCTGGGACGTCTTGGACGCTGTTTCGGCCGACTGGAGGCCATTTTGGGCGTCTTGGACCGACCGTTCAGCGATTCGTTTTGGGGGCCTCTTGGGGCCCTCCTGGTCCGTCTTGGAGCCCTGTTGGCTCCGAAAAAGTCGCGCGACAAGACGCGCCAAGCCCCAGTCTATATTATATGTGTGTATATATATATATATATCGGAGGTGAGGGGGTGAGATCGAAGAACTGGAACGTAGATCCCCCCTACCGGGAAGTCGATTTCGGTTTCGTGTTCGTGCGTGCCGTGCGGGGGAGGCGAAGCTGCGTGGGCGGGCGAGAGATAGTCTCCTGTGGCTGAGGCGCGGCCGGACCAAATGACTCCCTTCCGGGCGGCCGGTGGCCCGCGGTGTCCCGCCGGTGTCCCGCCGGTGTCCCGTCGGTGTCCCGATGATGACGATGATGATGATGATGATGATGATGATGATGATGATGATGATGATGATGATGTCGATGATGTTGTTGATGAGGATGATGATGATGACGATGATGAGGATGGTGATGGTGGTGATGATGATGGTGTCCCGAGGATGATGATGATGATGTTGATGATGTTAATTGTGATGATGGTGATGATGATGGCCATGGTGGAGATGATGATGGTGTCCAGATGATGGTGATGTTGATGATGTTAATGTTGTGATGATGATGATGGCGTCCCGATGATGATGATGATGATGATGACGATGATGATGATGATGATGATGATGATGATATTCTTGATCATGTTGATGATGATGATATGATGAGATGATGATGCTGATGATGATGAAGATGATGATGATGGTGTCCTGCTGATGCTAGTGATGATGAGGTTGATGATGGTGCTGTTGATGATGATGATGATGGTGTCCCGATGCTCATGTTGATGATGATGAAGATTTCGATGATTGTGTCCTGATGATGATGAGGATGATGATGAGGTGATGATGGTGATGATGATGATGATGATGGTGGCCCGATGATGATTATGATGTTGCTGATGTTGATGATGGTGTCCCGATGATGATGATGGTGATGATGATGGTGGCGATGATGATGGTGTCCCGATGATGATGCGGATGTTGGTGATGATGTTGCTGATGATGATGGTGCCCCGATGATGATGCTGATGATGTTGTTCATGAGGATGATGATGAGATGCTGATGATGATGACGATGATGATGATGATGATGGTGTTCCGATGGTGCCCCGATGCTGATCATGTTGATGATGATGCTGGTGTCCCGATGATGAGGATTGTGATAATGATGATGATGATAATGATGATGAGGTGATGATGATGGTGTCCCGATGATGATGATGATGATGATGATGATGATGATGATGCTGATGATGATGATGATGATGATGATGCTGACGTTGTTGACGATGATGTTGATGATGATGACGTTGTTTGTGAGATCGATTGTGATACCGATCGTGAGATCGATAGTGAGACCGAATGTCTGATCGACTGTGACATCGATAGTGAGATCGATAGTGAGATCGATTGTGAGATCGATAGTCAGATCGATTGTGAGATCGACCGAATGAAATAGATCGAGTGATCTCGATTGTGAGATCGATTGAGTGAGATCGATCGCGCGAGACCGATAGTGAGATCGATAGTGAGATCGACAGTGAGACCGATTGAGTGAGACGTCGTTTCTTTCCCCTCCCGAACCTCCTTATCACCCGAAGGGTGGTCGTATAGGTATATATATATATACATACACATGTTTGTGAATGTTGCGCTCAGGCTTTCAAAACAATCGTCAGGATTACTGACAGAGACTTAAAGAATTAGGCAAAGGACCTGGGGACAGTCCGCTTCGTGCCATGAGGGCACGGTGGCGGACGTAACCCTACCAGGCAACGCTCGGCTCTCTACCGCGCCTTAACGCCCAATGGGTCTCGATGTGCAGATGGGGGAGTAGTCTCGTTCCTTCTGCCATGTCCGTTGCTTCTGCTACGCTTAGGGCCAGCCTGTGCTGCCGCTTTGGCATAAAACCCAGGCCCAGATGATGCAGTCACCGCGACCCCGACAAGCGATACTGTCTCGCTCCATCCTCCTGGCACTTCGCCGTCGCAATCAGGGGTCAGCTGTGCCGCCGGCTCGGCCCAGCCCATGGCTATTGTAGGCCATTGCCGATCGCCCAGCCCATTCTTCATACATCGCTGGTCGAATCCTCCGGGTGGGGACTCTGCTCAGACGTCCCCCTCACTCTCCCGACGCTGAAGCACCGAGCCCGTCCCCATGATCCCACCGGAGACGCAGCAAGGGTCGGCTCGGCAGCCGAGCTGTGGACGCTCGTGACGCCGCTGGGTCGGCTCGGCGACCCACCTTGTACCTTTCGCAGCGTGCACCCCGCAGGACATCGGGAGGTCATCGGTTGCGCGGAGCGGCCTCCAGAGCCGATCCGCGCTTGACAGGTCGAGCGGGCGCCTTGCTGGAGGTCATCGGCTCGTGAGCTTCGGTTTCCAGATGTCGTATTTGCGCTGGCTCCTAGCTGCTTAATTACCTAACAGCTTGTGCTGATAGGTTTCCAGTAGGGTCAAAAGAGAGCATCATGACACTCCAGGGGGGTCCGGGCGGAAGCAGGCAGAAACCGGGAGAATCGGGCGGAGCACATTCCGTGCGTGCAGGCACGCACGGGAGCCACCTCGGCGCCATCGGAGGTGCGTTCCGTGCGTGCAGGCACGCACGGGAACCACCTCGGCGCCATCGGAGGTGCGTTCCGTGAGTGCAGGTACGCACGGGAGCCACCTCGGCGCCATCGGAGGTGCGTTCCGTGCGTGCAGGTACGCACGGGAACCACCTCGGCGCCATCAGAGAAGCGTTCCGTGCGCGCAGGTACGCACGGGAGCCACCTCGGCGCCATCGGAGGTGAGTTCCGTGCGTGCAGGTGCGCACGGAGCCACCTCGGCGCCATCGGAGGTGCGGCTGCGGCTGAGGCAGGCCGAGGCAGGCTGAGGCTGAGGCTGAGGCTGAGGCTGATGCAGGCTGAGGCTGATGCAGGCTGAGGCCGCAGGAGTATGCGGGAGCGCAGCAGGCTGATGCTGAGGCAGGCTGAGGCTGAGGCTGAGGCTGAGGCTGAGGCAGGCTGAGGCTGAGGCTGAGGCTGAGGCTGAGGGCTGAGGCTGAGGCTGAGGCTGAGGCTGAGGCAGGCTGAGCTGCTGAGGCTGAGGCAGGCTGATGCTGAGGCAGGCTGAGGCTGAGGCTGAGGCTGATGCAGGCTGAGGCTGAGGCAGGCTAAGGCTGAGGCCGGGGCCGACAGCATATCGAGGCTGAGGCTGAAGCAGGCTGAGGCTGAGACAGAGGCAGGCTGAGGCTGAGGCTGAGGCAGGCTGATGCTGAGGCAGGCTGAGGCTGAGGCTGAGGCTGATGCAGGGTGAGGCTGAGGCAGGCTGAGGCTGAGGCCGAGGCCGAAGGCAGACTGATGTTGAGGCGCAAGCAGGCTGAGGCTGAGGCTGAGGCAGGCTGAGGCTGAGGCAGGCTGAGGCTGAGGCTGAGGCAGGCTGAGGCTGAGGTTGTGACCGCGACTGCCGTTGCCACTGCGACTGCCATCGCGAATGCGACTACGACTGCGAGAAAAGCAGAATTCTACAACAGGATTCTCATCTGAATCTTAAGGGGAATGCTTCCAGATATGCTCCTACACATCGCTGTTAGGTTGCTTTGCCGGGATAATTTTTAGCCTTCGGGGTGGTTCGCCGCAACACTAGCTGCTTACCCTTTAACCTTGAGGGGGGTTCGCCGCAACATCCGGGCGAGCCTTGATAGACTTTTCAGGGTGCCGTCCATAGAGCTAGTCAGGACGCTCCACACAGGAGGGCCCCGTCTTGGGGAGTCGAGGGGCTGGCTTTTCGCCCTCGGCGCAAGGCCAGCGGAAGCGGGCGACGCGTCGAAACGAGGGCGGTGCCGCTGGCGGAAGGCGGCGGGCGCGGAAGACTGGCGGCAGCGACGGCCCGCCCCGCCCCCCGCAGCGGTCCGCGCCGGCGCACCCCCCGAGGGCTCTCGGAGCCGCCCGGCTCGGCCCGCACCGCCGGAGGGCTCCGTGCGCCGCCGCTGGCCGCGCGCCCGCGGCCGCTCGCCGCGGAGTGAGCGCTGGCCCCCGCGCCGCAGATGGGCGTGGGCGCGGGCAGCCCGCGGGCGGAGGCCGAGCCCCCGGCGGGCGCTGCGCAGGGCCAGGCCCCGGCGCCCCCCAGCGGCGAGGGCGCCGCCGCGGCAGCCGCGGAGGCCCCAGAGGCCCGGGGCGGCAGCGGGGCGGCCGCCGGCGCGGGCGGCGCCGAGCACGGCCCTCCTCCTCCTCCTCTCCTCCTCCCTCCCTCCTCCCTCCTCCCCTCCTCCTCCCCCTCCTCCTCCTCCTCCTCCTCCTCTCCTCCTCCTCCTCCTCCTCTCCCTCCTCCTCCTCTACTCCCTCCTCCTCCTCCTCCTCCTCCTCCTCTCCTCCTCCCCCTCCTCCTACCCTCCTCCTACCCTCCCTCCTACCCCTCCTTTCCTCGTCCCGCCTCCTCCTCCTTCCTCCTCCGCCTCCTCCTGTCCTCCTCCTCCCTCCTCCTCCCCCTCCTCCTCCTTTTCCTCCTCCTCCTCCCTCTCCTCCCTCCTCCTCCTCCTCCTCCTTCCCCTTCCTCCTCCCCTTCCTCCCCTCCTTCCCCCCCCCTCCTCCCTTCTCCTCCTCCTCCTCCTCCTCTCCTCCTCCTCCTCCTCCTCCTCCTCCCCCCTCCTCCTCCTCCTCCTCCTCCTCCTCCTCCTCCTCCTCCTCCTCCTCCTCCTCCAGCCCGAGGAGGCAAAGGAGGTGCCGAGGCCGCTGCGCGTCCCAGGAGGCACCTCGTCGCCACGGCCGGCATCCTCCCCGAGGCTCCCTGGGAGGGCTCCGTCGAGCAGCGCCATCGGCATTTGTTTTTTGCCCCCCCTCCCGCAGGCAGCGCGGCCGCCGACCCGGACGCGGGCGCCCAGCCCTCGGCCGCGGCGGCGGCCGCTGCGCCGCCGAGGCCGCCCTTCTCCCTGGAGGCCCTGCGAGCCGAGGCGGGGCTGCTGCGCTCGGAGCACGAGTGGTACGTCAGCCGCGTGGGCGAGCTCCGGAGCCCGACGTACATCTGCACCAAGGACTGAAGTGGCAGTGGGACACACACAGAAATAGGCACACGTATATATATATATATATATAGTATGTGTATATATATATATATATGTATATATGTATATATATATATATATATTCTGGGCTTCTGGCTTCCCCCCCACTTCCCATGTTGTCGCATCGTTTCCTGGGAATCGACGACTCATTGTGTCTGTGTGCTTCTTTCCCTCCTGAAGGACGACGAGCTGCACAGGGTCCGGCCGGGGGAGGGGCCCTGGGACCTCACCGTCTCCGTGCGCGGCGGCCCGCGGGGCGGCAGCGCGCCCGAGGAGGCGCCCGGCGAGGAGCAGAGGGGCGACCCCACGCAGGCCGACAGCTTTAAGTCGGGCCCGTCCCTCTACCAGGAGGAATATTCAAAAGTAGTAAAGAATACTCAGGGGACGATGATTTGATTATTTTCGACCATTCTGGAACATTCTTAGGGTATTTTTCATTTGCTCAAAATCCCCTGTAGGGGAACACGCCCGACTTACGGCGACCCCACGCAGGCCGACAGCTCCAGGGAGGGCAGAACCGCGCGCGCGTACGACTTTCCCTTCCAGGTCAGGCTGCGCTTTGACGAGGACTGGCCCGTGCAGCCGCCCGTGGTGCGCTTCCAGTGCGTGATCCACCACGCCCTGATCGACGACGAGCAGGGCATGCTGCTGCCGTTCTACAAAACGCTCGAGAGAACACAGGACAATATATTCACAATCCCACTGATTCTGAAGGCCGTGCGCGAGTTTCTGGTGGATCCGCTGGCCGCATGGGGTATCCCGATCGCGCAGGCGCCGACTAGGTTGACGCTGTCGATCGCTGACAACGAGGAGATGAATGAAAAGCGGCTGACTACAATAAAGAAGTACGCGGCGATGGTCAAGCACCAGGAGTTCTTTCGCGTCCCCGTGGTGTTGCGGGAGGAGTGGTTCGAGCCCGCCTTCTGGAGGGCGCACATGGAGAATACGCCAGAAGCTTGGCGAGCGCTGCTCGAGGAGCATCTTGAGAACGAGGTGTACTCGTTCAAGATGCTGAGCGAAGTCTTCTGCGAACAGCTACTGGAGGAGATTTTCAACTTCTATGACTCGGGTCTCCCTGCCAGGCGCCCGAACAGCATGAACAACTACGGCATCATCCTCAACGAGATCGGTCTGGAGCCGCTCATTGATGGCCTGCAGGCGATGCTGCAGACCCTTGGTGACATGCTGTGGCCAGGCGCGGGCAGCGACTGGGACGGGCACCACTGCTTTATCGTGCGCTACCGCGAGGGCGAGGATCTCGGGCTGGACATGCACACGGACGACTCGGACGTCACCTTCAACCTCTGCCTGGGGCTGAACTTTCAGGGGGCGGGCCTCCAGTTCTGTGGTCTCATGGGCGCCCCGAACCATCGCAGGCACACGCTCACGTACCAGCACGTGAAAGGCAGCGTGGTGTGCCACTTGGGGAGGAAGAGGCACGGGGCCGACGACATCTCGGAGGGCGAGCGCCTGAACTTGATCCTGTGGAACCACTCCAGCACATACCGCGAGACCAGCGAGTACAAAGAGCCTCCCTACAGCACCGAGGAGGGGCCCCCAGACCAAGTTTGCGTCAGCTACACGCACGACCGCGACTACGGGATCTTCAAGGAGTACCCAAGGGGCAAGGAGAAGTTCAAGGGCCGCGGATGGTGCCCTCCCAAGCAGTACGAGTACGCCGACTTCAAGCAAGACGCCCCGCGGGTGCTCGGAGGGGGCTGACACTAAGCAGCTGCTGCCGCTGCAGCAGAGGCGACCAGCCCACCGCGGGGCGCGGCGGGGCGGATGACCGGCCTGGCCGCGCGAGCGCTGCGGGGCGGGCCGGGAGAGCCCCGCGGGCGCCCTCCGGATCGCGCCGGGAGGAGGAGCCCGGGCGCCGTGCGGGCGCAGGTACAGCACAGCGCCCCGGCGCCTCGGCTCCGCGGGCCCGCCCGAGACAGACCTGCAGGCAGGCGCGGGCCGCCCCGGCAAGAAGGCGTTTAGGGAGGCGGCAGGTGGGCGCGCTCTTCGCGGCAGGAGGGTCGGGCATAGCCAGGGCCTCGGGCAAGGGGACCCGGTGAGTGTTACGTCGGGCCTGTCCCTCTAGAGGGGGAGAGTTCAAGAACAGTCCGAAAATAGTCTGGGGACTATCTTTGGACTATTTGGGACCATGTTGGGGATATGTTTGGAGTGTGTTTTATTCGTCGTCGAAGATCCCCCTTGTAGTAGTAGGGGCACACGCCCGACTTGAGGTTAGTGATAGGGCCCGGGAGCCCCTGCATTGGCCAGAAGCGCTCAACCGGGTCTGCCGTAGCTGGTGTTTTTGTCGGGTGACGGCAGTTCCGGTTAGTGGAAGGGGGCGGGGGGGCGTCCCCCAGTACACATCACTGAACCAGGTCCCGCTAAACCCAGTGTTGCCAACGCCCGAGAGGGGTCCCCAAGGCAGGGCTTGCACATGAAGCTTCCCTCGTCGAGGTTCGAAGGAAGTGCCCTGGATTGGCGCCGATGTTGCTCGCCCCGACCGGATGGACGTCGAACTCGTTTGCCCCGAGTCGCCCTGGCGCTGATTTCGCTTGCCCCGGCTAGCCTTGATTGTCAGAAGAGCAAGAGGTCATGAGTCATGATAATGATACATTCGAGGATTTCCAGGGCTTGCCATATTCCCGAGTGCTTCACACAGGCTGCAGAAACGATGGCCGCTAGAAACTGGAAATCCTGAAACGCATCCGAAGCCAATCCTATCATGTCTAGGCTTCCTAAATGGGGTCGGAGAAGACGGGGTCGGAGGATCGCGCCGCATCGCCGATGCATCGCAGATGTTGCTCGATGTGCAACCCGGTTTGCTTCACGTCGACGTCGCCGATGCATCGCCGACGTCGCCGATGCATCTCTGGTGCATCGCCCATGTATGGGCGATGCGGCGCGATCCTCCGACTTCATCTACTCCGACCCCATCTAGGGGGCCTCTATCATTACATAGTTCTCGTCTTAGGCTAGCTTACATCAGTCGCTTGGGTTGGAGCCGATCTCGTCTGCCCAGATTTGCTCTTGGATGCCTGAAGAGCTCCGAAGGGCCCTTTGCCCACTTGTCCCCGACTTGGTTGACTCTGGTTAGCCCCGCCTTGCTCCTTGCCTTGGCTTTTGCGTGGGCTTCATTTCACGATTTCGCTTGCCTGGTCTAGCCCTGGCTAGTCCCTTGCCATGCGTCGGCGCCGCATTCGCTCGTCCCGATCAACCATGACTAGCCCTTTACTTCTGTCAGGGCCGATTTCGTTTGCCCTGGTTAGCCCCGACTGGCCACTTGCCTTGGGCTGGTGCCGATCTCGTTTGCCGCATTAGTCTCCGACTGGCCCTCCGTCAATTGTTGACCCGATTTCCGTGACCCAGCCTTGCCCGGACGATTTCCTTCATTTGGCTGGCCCCGAATTCACTTGCCCCGACTCGCCTGAACTAGCGCTTGCCGTGTGTTGGTGCCGGGCTTGCTTGCTCCAGCCGGCCCCGAGAGTGCCTCACAACGAGTTGGTGCCAATTTGAGTTGCCCCAGCTAACCTCGACAAGTCCTTTGCCCTGGGCTGGTGTCGATTCGCTAGCCCTGGCCATACCCCACTGGCATTCTTCCTTGGATAGGCTCCCATTTCGACTGTCCAACCGAGCTCTGGGTAACAAAACCGCTGAGGGTGGGATACGTCTACACAGCGGACGAGCGCCGAGATGCAAGGATGCATTGGGCTTCTCAGGTTCGAAGAGGCTTGCCATGATAACCCTGGGGCTACCAGACCCAGAATCGGTGGAACTATCAGGCTTCAGTCAGGGTGTTGGTTCTTGTTGAGGCTTCCTGTGGCCAATGCCATCCTGTATATACCAATTTCAGGTCCATCTCGACTGCTGATCGGCTTTCCGCTGCTTCATTGTTTATGTGTGCTCATCCCTCTCCTCATTTCCCCTCTGTTCTCCTTTTCCATTCCCCTTTTCCCCTGCTCAGCTGCTTAGAGATCTGTTTATTCCCTGGTGATACTGGGCGTGACCCGAGGGGGAGGGGGGGGGCAGAGGGGGCTGGTGGCGTCACGATTCGCGCCAGCGCCGTCAGGGAAAGCCGAGGTCTGGCTATCTTCCAGACGGCGCTGGCGCGAATCGAGACGTGACCAGGGTGGGAGGAGGAGAGGGCGGGGCCTGTCACGGGCGTTATTACGAATAATCGAATAGCTGGCTCTTATCTTGTCCCCCTTCCTTTCCGAGCGAACGCCGGGGAGTAAAAACCTCCCGCTGCTTCTGCGAGTCCCTCCCCTCTGGCCCCGCCGTCCGTCCTGGCCCCTTCAGTGCCCGCCAGGCCGGCGACATTGTGCAGGGCCAGATCGGGACCTGCTTCCTCCTGGGCGCCTTGGGGTCCATCGCGGGGGCGAGGGAAGCCGACGTGCAGAAGTTCTTCGTCAGCTACGATGTTGACGTTGGCGTGTACGGCGTGCGGTTCAACGTCGACGGCGACGAGAGAATCGAACGCCGCCTCCTGAAGCTCCCTATCTCCTCCTCCTCCTCCTCCTCCTCCTCCTCCTCCTATCTCCTCCTCCTCCTATCTCCTCCTCCTTCTCCTCCTCCTCCTCTTCCTCCTCCTCCTCCTCCTATCTCCTCCTTCTCCTCCTCCTCCTCCTCCTCCTGCCATTTTCTGCCACGCCATGCCTACTCGAGACTCGCTGCCCGCCTTGCCCTGCCTGCCTTCCTAGGGCCACAGGCCCTCTGCCGAGCCTTCCGTCGGTGAGGCGGGTCTGCCCGGGCAGTCCCACTCCGAGGGGACGAGCCTGCGCTGAAGTCGGGCCTGTCCCTCTACAGGAGGAATATTCAAAATAGTCCGGAAATAGTCGGGGGACGATTGTTTGATCATTCCTGAGTATTCAGGTTTTTTGTCGGAATATTTGAGAGATGGCCGGTTCTCTCCGCGAGCTATGTTTTACACAGAGTTGGGCAATGGTGATATTTCTTACGTTCTTGTTGTACTATTCGATTGGTTTCTGGTGTTCCAAAATGGTGACCCCGCCGCTTTGTTCCCATCTTTTGAAATGGCGCTCTCGCGGTCCACTGTTCTGGATCCGAGTCGTTTCTCATCATTGTCGCCCCCCTCATTTCCCCGTCCTTCGCCTTTCCCTCGTCCTCCTGCTCCTCCCGCTCCATTCACTCCAGTTGCTGCTGCTGCTGTTCGTCCTCGTCCTCCTCCTTCCACAGCCTACTTCTTTTTCCTCCTGCTCATCCTCCTGCTCACCAGCCACCTCCTCCTCCTTCGCCTCCGTCTCCTCTTCCTCCTCCTAGGTGCACAGCTCCCTCTACCGATTGTTTACAACACGATGGCGTCTTGTTTTGGAGTTCCAGGTCGGCTATGGCCCGCGTCCGCGGACGGAGAACAGATCAGCGCAACGGGAATAGAAGGGATGGGGGGAAGGGACATTGGTGTCAAACGTGGCGCGAGCGCGCCTAGCCTCCCCCTTTCCCCTCGCCCCTCCCCGCGCTCTCCCCCCTCCTCGCCCCGGGCCTCGCGTCCACGCCCCCTCCTCGCCCGGGGTGTCCCGGCCGACCCGGCGGACCCCCCTCTTGCCCCCCCTGGCTCCCCGCAGCCGGTTGGGCTCGAGGCCGGGCGACACGTGGCAGCAGCACGCAGGGGCCCCCGGGTGCCTCTCTCTGCAGGCGGGCGCGATGGCGCCGGCGGCCGCAGCCGGGGCTGCGCGGCGGCCTGTGTGGCAGGTGGCGCTCGCGCTGCTCGGGGGCAGGGCGGCCGCGGGCCCGACGAAGGAGGTCATCGCGAACGTCCAGTGCGAGGTCTGCAAGCTGGCCATGGGGGAGGCGATGGAGTACGCCGAGGATCGGGGGAGGACAAGGTATACCCACGCCGCTGCCCTTCCCGCGTGTTTCGCCTCTGGGGGCCCTCCTGGGAGGCCCTTGTCGCCACGGCTGGGTTCGCCTCGAAAGCCTGGTCAGGACACACCCTGGGGGAGGTCCGAGGAGTAGCGGCATCGGTGCTTTTTTGTGTCCCCAAAGGAGAAGGGCATCAAGGACGAAGACGGCCTCGCCGACCTTATCGACGGCCTCTGCTCCGTGAAGAAGGAGCAGGGGAAGTGGGTGTCGCAGATCGACATCAAGAAACAGGGAGACGGCCTCACACTTCAAAGGCAGGAGCTCGTGGGCCACTGCAAGTCGGAGTGTCTGAGCGTGCAGCGAGCGTGTACGGCATCGCTGAAGGACAAGGAGGAGGATATCATCGAAGTAATGAAGACATCGTTGAAGGAAGATAAGGGTGCAGACGATCTGAAGGCGCATATCTGCAAGAAGCCTTGCGGCAAGAAACCTCCTAAGCTGAAGAACTTCGTGGACGAGCCGTTCAAACCTCGGGATCCTAAGGAGGTAGAGGCAGAGGAACGAGTGAAGAAGATGGAGGCCGAGACCGGGCAGAAATTCAAGATGTGGAGCCGAGACGAGATCGCAAGTATGTCTGAGGCGGACATCCAGCTAGAGGCTGCCAAGGACGCCCTTGGCGCAGCCAGGCGGGAGGAGAAGCTGAAGAAGCAGATGGAGGCAGGAGAGTTGTGATTTCGGTTACCATCTTTGCGCCCTCGTGTTTTGTTCCGAACCCAGGCGGCATATGCCACAGTTCGCATGTTGGCACGGATCGTGTTTGACAAAGTGCCGTTTGGCCGCTGGCCAATAGCGTCTGGCCCACGTTTCTAGATGTTGCTTGTCTGTGGCATTCTTGCCACATTGTCCCTCGAGGCCACCATTAGGATCGACAGGCGGCAACTCAATTAAGGTTGCAAGAGCTGCTCCCAGCAAGACCGGCCGAAGTGCACAGCATACTCATACGCAAACAATCACTGTTGCAACCGCTATATTTCCTCAGTTTGCTGCTTCTTGGTCCCAAGTTGAAAGGGGTCGTCACGGCGATGATCAGAATGGCGTCGACTCAAACGCAAGTAATGCGATGGTGAAACATGCAGGCGTTGCAGCCGCGTTATCAAACAGAAACACGCAAGCTGTCAGTTAGTGGCCATACTGATGTTGTGCAACGGGCCTGGTAGCTTTGGTGATGTCCCGCCCTGGTTCTCTTGGTTTCTAGGGGGGAGCCCAAGGATATCTCTGGGGGTCTTCTCCAGGAGTTCCTTTGGTTCCCCAGGTCCCCTTGCGAGTGTCATGATTTCCTGCCGGGGTTACGCGGGCTCCTCGTGTCCTCTTGGTGGTTCGCTGCTTATTCCCAACCCTCCTGCGTTGGGTACTCGTTTTGAATAGAGCACTGTGGTCTCCACCTTCTTCCTCCTCCTCCCGCCTCCTCCCGCCTGGGGTGCCGAGCGGAGTGACGCCCTACGGGGACTCAGATTAGACCTCGCCATCCCTGGTGGGGCTGCGATCTGTGAAACTGTCGCCACTTTCGAGGGCTGCTGGGGGGCCCAGCGGAGTGACGCCCTACGGGGACTCAGATTAGACCTCGCCATCTCTGGGGGGGCTGCGATCTGTGGAACTGTCGCCACTTTCGGGGGCTGCTGGGGTGCCCAGCGGAGTGACGCCCTACGGGGACTCAGATTAGACCTCGCCATCCCTGGTGGGGCTGCGATCTGTGAAACTGTCACCACTTTCGAGGGCTGCTGGGGGGGCCCAGCGGAGTGACGCCCTACGGGGACTCAGATTAGACCTCGCCATCCCTGGGGGGCTGCGATCTGTGAAACTGTCGCCACTTTCGAGGGCTGCTGGGGTGCCTAGCGGAGTGGCGCCCTACGGGGACTCAGATTAGACCTCGCCATCTCTGGGGGGCTGCGATCTGTGAAACTGTCGCCACTTTCGAGGGCTGCTGGGGGGCCCAGCGGAGTGACGCCCTACGGGGACTCAGATTAGACCTCGCCATCCCTGGGGGGCTGCGATCTGTGAAACTGTCGCCACTTTCGAGGGCTGCTGGGGGCCCAGCGGAGTGACGCCCTACGGGGACTCAGATTAGACCTCGCCATCCCTGGGGGGCTGCGATCTGTGAAACTGTCGCCACTTTCGAGGGCTGCTGGGGGGGCCAGCGGAGTGACGCCCTTCGGGAATTCAGATTAGACCTCGCCATCCCTGGGGGGCTGCGATCTGTGAAACTGTCGCCACTTTCGAGGGCTGCTGGGGTGGCCAGCGGAGTGACGTCATACGGGGATTCAGATTAGATCTCGCCATCCCTGGGGGGCTGCGATCTGCGAAAGTGTCGCCACGTTCGAAGGCTGCTGGGGGGCCAGCGGAGTGACGCCCTTCGGGAATTCAGATTCGACCTCGCCATCCCTGGGGGGCTGCGATCTGTGAAACTGTCGCCACTTTCGAGGGCTGCTGGGGTGGCCAGCGGAGTGACGTCATACGGGGATTCATTAGATCTCGCCATCCCTGGGGGGCTGCGATCTGCGAAAGTGTCGCCACGTTCGAAGGCTGCTGGGGGGGCCAGCGGAGTGACGCCCTCCTGTGGAAACTGGCAGGGCTGCTGGGGTGGCCAGCGGAGTGACGTCATACGGGGATTCAGATATAAACAGGTATGATCCTGTGGACAGGCAGCAGGCATGCGTTGACCGAGCTCCTGCAAAAACGAAACAGTCTCTTGCTTCCTCCCTCCTCTTTCATCATCGCCGCCCTAGTCCTCCTGTCACCTTCTGCATTCATGCTGCTGCTGCTGCTGCGATGGCTCCTCGCCCCTTCCTGCTGGGTTCGTCCTTCTCCTGTCCCTCGTTCCCGCCCCCGCTATTGTTTAACGAGCCTTGAGACCGACTCCTCGTCTTATCGATTGCTGTTCTGTGAGTCGTGCAACATTACGCATCGCATGTAGGTCGCACTACAAATCGCCGCGCCTGCACTGTCACGGTTCCTGCTAATGTTTCCCTACTCCTCTTGTCACGTGATGCCATCGGGTTGGGTACGTCGCAGGGTAATGTTTGGAATGCATCTATTGTCAACGGTCTGTTTTACGATGCTACGCTTGCGTCGCATTGACTATGTAATGTTTTGCGTTGTTCTGAAGTGCCTTGCATTGCGGACCATTCCGTTCCGTTGCGTTGCATTTGCAGTGTTTGGTATTGTTATGCGTTGCTGTGTGTTGGAATGCATTGCTTTCCGTTGCATTGCTCGGCTTTCCTGTAAACAGGTGGCACGTGCGTGTCCTACTTATTTCCCAACCCTCCTTGGTTGGGTATTCGTTTTGAATAGAGCAGAGTGGTGTCCACTCCTTCCTTCCTTCCTCCTCCTCCCTCCCTGCCTCTTCCTGTCTTGCCTGCGGGGGGCTGCGATCTGTGAAACTGTCGCCGTTTTCGAGGCCTGCTGGGGGGCCCAGCACAGTAAGGGCCACGCGCGGATTCAAATTAGACCTCGCCATCCCTGGGGGGCTGCGATCTGTGAAACTGTCCCCATTTTCGAGGCCTGCTGGGGGGGCCAGCGGAGTGACGCCCTTCGGGAATTCAGATTCGACCTCGCCATCCCTGGGGGGCTGCGATTTGTGAAACTGTCGCCATTTTCGAGGCCTGCTGGGGGGCCCAGCACAGTGAGGGCCACGCGATTCAAATTAAAACTGTCGCCAGAGGCCTGCGGGGGGCCCAGCACAGTCAATTCAAATTAGACCTCGCCATCCCTGGGGCTGCGATCTGTGAAACTGTCGCCATTTTCGAGGCCTGCTGGGGGGCCCAGCACAGTGAGGGCCACGCGCGGATTCAAATTAGACCTCGCCATCCCTGGGGGGCTGCGATCTGTGAAACTGTCGCCATTTTCGAGGCCTGCTGGGGGGCCCAGCACAGTGAGGGCCACGCGCGGATTCAAATTAGACCTCGCCATCCCTGGGGGGCTGCGATCTGTGAAACTGTCGCCATTTTCGAGGCCTGCTGGGGGGCCCAGCACAGTGAGGGCCACGCGCGGATTCAAATTAGACCTCGCCATCCCTGGGGGGCTGCGATCTGTGAAACTGTCGCCATTTTCGAGGCCTGCTGGGGGGCCCAGCACAGTGAGGGCGACGCGCGGATTCAAATTAGACCTCGCCATCCCTGGGGGGCTGCGATCTGTGAAACTGTCGCCATTTTCGAGGCCTGCTGTGATCCCCGTTTTCGAAGTGGCTAGGAGTGCTCAGGAATTGTAACTCATCCGCTTTATCAAGCCCTTTTCCTGTAGCCAGTGTCCTGCGAGTCTCCCGGATTCCGTCTGCAGACATATGTAACCCTCGCTCCGTCATCGCCCCCTTATAAAGTATCCTAAACTATTTGCGCCCCGCTTTTGCGCAGGGGTTGGGTACGTCGCCAGGGTAATTTTCCCAACCCTCCTTGGTTGGGTATTCGTTTTGATTACAGCACTGTGGTCGCGTCCCTCCTCCTCCTCCTCCTCCTCCTCCTCCTCCTCCTCCTCCTCCTCCTCCTCCCGCCTCCCGCCTCCTCTCGCCTCCTGCCCTCTCTTCGCCGTCCCTGGGGGGCTGCGATCTGCGAAACCGTCGACACTTTCGAGGGCTGCTGTCGCGGTCACCGCGGATCTGTGACCTCGCCGTCCCTGGGGGGCTGCGATCTGCGCTGTCGCCACGTTCGAGGGCTGCTGGTGGGTCCTGCGGAGTGAGGCGCAGCGCAGATCTGAGGTAGACCTCGCCGTCCCTGGGGGGCTGCGATCTGCGAAACTGTCGCCACTTTCGAGGGCTGCTGGTGGGTCCTGCGGAGTGAGGCACCGCGCAGATCTGAGGTAGACCTCGCCGTCCCTGGGGGGCTGCGATCTGCGAAACTGTCGCCACTTTCGAGGGCTGCTGGTGGGTCCTGCGGAGTGAGGCACCGCGCAGATCTGAGGTAGACCTCGCCGTCCCTGGGGGGCTGCGATCTGCGAAACTGTCGCCACGTTCGAGGGCTGCTGGTGGGTCCTGCGGAGTGAGGCACCGCGCAGATCTGAGGTAGACCTCGCCGTCCCTGGGGGGCTGCGATCTGCGAAACCGTCGCCACGTTCGAGGGCTGCTGGTGGGTCCTGCGGAGTGAGGCGCCGCGCAGATCTGAGGTCGACCTCGCCGTCCCTGGGGGGCTGCGATCTGCGAAGCTGTCGCCACTTTCGATGGCTGCTGGTGGGTCCTGCGGAGCGAGGCACCGCGCAGATCTGAGGTAGACCGCGCCGTCCCTGGGTGGCTGCGATCTGCGAAACCGTCGCCACTTTCGAGGGCTGCTGGGGTGCCTAGCGGAGTGAGGCGCAGCGCAGATCTGAGGTAGACCTCGCCGTCCCTGGGGGGCTGCGATCTGCGAAACCGTCGCCACGTTCGAGGGCTGCTGGTGGGTCCAGCAGAGTGAGGCGCCGCGCAGATCTGAGCGGGACCTTGCCGTCTGCGATCTGCGAAGCTGTCGCCACTTTCGATGGTTGCTGGTGGGTCCTGCGGAGTGAGGCACCGCGCAGATTTGAGCGGGACCTCGCCGTGCCTGGGGGGCTGCGATCTGCGAATTTGTCTCCACTTTCGAGGGCTGCTGGTGGGTCCAGCGGAGTGAGGCACTGCGCAGATCTGAGCGGAGCCTCGCCGTCCTTGGGGGGCTGCGATCTGCGAAACCGTCGCAACTTTCGAAGGCTGGTGGCGGGTTCAGCGGAGCGAGGCA